ACTTGGGGAGGGTCCAATAGTTTCACCAGAACCGTAATAGCACCTTTGGGTAGGGTTTCAACAAAGATCCAATGAATAGATTCCAGGGAGCCGCATCCAGACGCTAAGCTTCAAAAGGTTTCGGGAAACCAGGCTTGAAGAGGAATATGCTGAAAGGTAATCCAAACCCTTTGTTTCTTAAAAGATCCTTCGAGCTGTGACCAAGGTCTAAGGGAACAGCAAGCACCAAGGAAGCTGAAGGGACAAGGATCCTGAAGGGCTAGATGAGCACAATGCGGAGAGGGAAAAGAAAAGAGGGTGTCTCCGCTAGAAAGCAGGTTGCAAGCAAGTTCAGGCGTTCCTCAGAGTTTCTGGGGAGCCGTTTTTGATCCCCCTGATGTCGGAGCGAGCAGGATGGAAGTTGCCAACCAGTGACACAAGGAGCTTGGTTTTGGCCTTCTTAACCTCATCAGTCGGGATAGAAATACAGAAGGGAGAGGAGGGAGAGAAGGGAGAAGGCAAAAGAGGGCACAACGGGGAGAGCGGAGGGGGAGACGGTACATGGGGAGAGGAGGGATACAACTTCAGGGAAGGAGGGGGGGATGAAGAGGCCAGGTTACAGGGGCCTGCTACACGAGCATAAGAGACCCTACAGTGTGAAGGGGGGGGGGGGGGGCGTCACGGTGTTGGATCCACAAGCCGGGACCTAGGAGTTTTTGAACACTGCTTGCAGGAGACCATATAGTCTCATGGCCTACACTATCCTTGAGCATCTCCGACCTCAACAGGGGATTTTCGGCAATGCCATATAGGTCCCATGTCCCACACCCATGTGGGATTGGGCTTTAGGCCCCCATGTGGGTCTTGGAAGTTTTTGAATTTAAAAAATGCTCTTTTAAGGGTTGTTTTGAATTTTTGAAAATGATTTTAAAAACTGCTAAAAAATATCTAAAAATCATAGAATCATTTCTTATTCTGAAATTAAAATTTCCGAAAGTGGATTGGTACCAATGGTCAGGAAATGACCGTCAAGGCACTCTAATTGACCCAATAATTGCGATCCTCGATTATTTTTTCAAACCAACCCAATGAGACTCATGACCAGCAATCTTGTGTAGGGTTTCATGATTGGCTCGGCAAAGCTGACCAATATAGTGAAATGACATTCTCATAATGTAGATTATAGCCCACCCCCCCCCCCCCCAAGAGCAAGTCATATGCACATCACTATAGTGCAATGGGGACTCTCTCTGTGCACATGTACACATATCCCTTTGCAGGGTTGCAGCTGTCATATGTAATTGCCTTACGGAAGTTTATTGAGGATTTTGCCCTCACTCTCATAGGTCTACATTTACGCAGATGAGATCGAGAAGCTCTCTTGGCCTACAAACCATCCCTGGGCATCCCTACGACCTTGACAAAGGATGACCCTCTGGAAACCATTAACTATAGTGCCACATGCTTAAGGGAAAAGGTTTTGGAATGACTAGGGCCATAAAGTGCCTAATCTTAGTTCAATCAACTAACACACACCCCCACTGAAGTGTATCATCCATTATAATTCATTATTTACATGCTCTCATGGGCTTGAAAGGCCACAACACCCCAACAACAATAATAACAAGTGTCTCGTTGTTGTCTACATGATATTCTTGCAGCCAAAAGTCCAGTCTTATACTAGGTAATAGTGCCCATTAGATAGGGTTTTAAGCATAGTTATTGGAAACGCTTGAGATTTTGAATCTTTTAGTAATTGGAATTGCGGAATCACTGCTGGCTAGAAGATTATGATTTTCGAAATCGACATCCGTACAAGGGGAATCATTGGAAACGAGATTCCTACTTTATAGATATTGAGATTCGACCCAAATGGAATTAAGACCCCTACATATATCGAATTGAGATTCCGACCTCTTTGGAATTGAGTTTCTAACGTACCTAGAATCGACCCATATAACGTAGAACCTACAACAATGATATCTTGCACCTTAATAACGTAGAACCTCGTCAAGTAATCAGATCTGAGGTCTCTACGACTTAAAGAAGTGTTATGTAGATATGAGTATTGATTATTGAGCCTCAAACACAACATTAGAAGCAAGGTCAATTAATAGATACTCGTGCACCACTAGGGAACTTGTCTACAAAAGATGCAAATATTATCTCATGTATTTTTAACATGTGATTTTTATTTCATTATTATAGTTTAAAAAAGGATTTTGTCTATGTCATGGTGTTGTCTGTATTGTAGTCCTATTTGAATGTACTCTTTACCAGTTATATTTTTAAAAAAGGCAGATAATCCTAGCATTATTAGAAACATGATTTGAGCCAGTGATAACACTATTAGAAATATAATCCGAATCAAAACTAAATCTCTATTCTAATTATTGTTAAGAAATAGCAAGCCTTCATGATCTTGGACATGATGCTCTTTGAATTGTTATTTTCTTATTTTGCTTACATTCGCATTGTAGAATCATTGCAAATCTAAACATCAAGCATAGACATAGATAGCGAGTGATAAAGATTTTGAACTATGGGAGCACATTTGAACTATGGGAGACAACTGTCTCCATCCCAGTTTCCAAATAACACAAATCAAAATCGATGAATATTTGAATTAGTCCATAAGGTATAGATTTGTGCACCTAGAACATTAGTACTTGATTTTCTGGTATTACGATTCCAAAAAAATCAAATTGATATTCTATAATGGTAGAAGAAAGATTCGATGTTTGATTAATCCGTTATTTCTTGCATCTACAAACCGCTTTATGTGATGGTTAGGAATCTGGATTCGAAAATAATCGAATTGAGTATCATTATATGTGGAATCCTAATTTAACAAATGTAGAATCGAGATTCAACAATTGTGTGATGGAGAATCAATAAATATTGGAAACGTGGTTTTATAAGTGTTGGACTCGAGATTCCTAAAATAATGAATCAACATTCCTGACTTCATGAAAATGGATTTCGTGAAGATTCCTTGTTGGAATTGCAGAATCGGGATTCCAAGTTGGAATGACAACCTTGGGTGAGCGATTTTGGTAACTATAGTTTTAACCTTGTAGATCCATTTGCACCAAATGGGAACCGGTCCTGCAGGAAGTGCAACCATTTCCCAGATGCCATTTTGTTCAAGGGAGATGTATCTCTTCATGCATAACAGATACCCAACAGGCATGATTGACTGTTTCCTTGTAGCTGCATGACTTAGCGACATAGGAGAGACGGGTGACTAAAGTAGAGTGATTGGAAAATACAATAGTAAAACCATATTGGACAGGTGTCGCATAAACTCTATCAGACATGGGAAAAGTAGGATTAGAATTAGGCACCAAGTACGTCGTATTCCTGGTCAATAGGGCTGCCAGGAGCTTGTCACTTGTAGTGTTTGAAGAGACAACTGAGGCTTTGTTCCGCCAAACATGAGATTTATATGAAAGACTAGATTCTGGAGATGTGGCTATCATTGGAAACTGAGGTAAATAGATAAAGGATTCAAGTTTGGTGATTTTTGACTCATCAATACAGGAT